CATAATCCAATGCATTGCTTTAAGCTCTAGTCACATGACACTAAGGATACTCCAGCCCTTCTCTCCATTCCATACAATTGTATTACTTCAAATACCCACATCTGTGTAGCTTATTAAAAAAGTACTGAGTTGTTTTTTATTTAAGCATGCATTCTTATTTAAGCATGCAGTCTTGAAGGAATTGCTTCAATGGTCATTAACACTATCGTCTTTGTTAAAATATCTAATTCAAAAAGTGGAATTTAAAGGGCATTGTTTTAAGTATGATATATGCCTCATACAATTCTGTATGAAAAAATATCAAACAGTTTTCAGCACTCTCTCCCCCCTCTCCCTCTCCCTATTCCTATTTTCTCTCTCTCTCCCCACTCTTTCACTCTCCCCACCCGACTCCCCACTCTCTCTCCACTCACCTCTCTCTCTCTCTCTCTCTTTCTCTCTCCATTCTTACCCCACTCTCTCCCCACATCGCTCTCTCTCTCCCCACACTCTCTCTCCCCACTTTCTCACTCCACTCTCTCTCTGTCCCCTCTCTCTCTCACTCCACTATCTCCCCACTCTCTCTCTCCCCCACTCTCTCTCTGTCCCCTCTCTCTCCATTCTCACTCTCCACACTCTCTCCCTCCCCCCACACACACTCTCTCTCTCTACTCTCTCCCCCACTATCTCTTTCTTTCTGCCTCCTTCCCCACTCTCACACCCTCTCTTTATTTATTTTTTGTTCGTCTGACTCAATTACGCTTTGACCTCGTAAAATAAATTATATATATGCCTAATACTTCGATGTTTCATAGTTTTTTACAATAAAAATAATGGGTAAAATACTTATTCTACAATAAATACAAATTCTTTATCGTTATTGTAAAATAAATTATGAAATGTTTATTCTTGATCTTTTTACTTTAAAATGGATATAGCAGAAATGTTTATTTACGCAAAAAATGAATGCAATTTAAAATTATACGGACGATAACTTCACACAACAGAAAATACTACTTCCCAGTTCAATTAGATCATCGCGTTGTTTGTTTGCGTATTTAATGAAGAAGAATTTTATATGCTTGAAGAACAATACTTATATGTTTACTAACATGCAAGGAAGATGATACATGTATGTTAGCTTGAAATCCCAGTTGGATATTATTTGTTGTACCGTTATGAAAAGTACTAAATTATCCACATGCTGAGAGGAGGTCTATAAAATATTCTTTATTTGACCAAGTATGTAATAAGGGTTTGACATTCACTATCCCTTTCCCTTGTATGCATTTAGTTTACTTCAATTTTATATTTTTATAATTTTTTGTCCCGTTCAGATATCGTGTCGTTGCGTTGAATGTTAACCAAAATGCATTTGCATCATGACTCCCTCGTTGTTCTACGCTTTACCCGGTATGTCATATTTTTTCATTGCATATTAATGTTCGTTTGGTGCTTTATTCAAATGCATATTGTTAATAAAACCTACATGTAACCTTTACTTGTTGCATGGTTCTACGATTTATAATTAACGCTTTTGAATGGATAGTGTTAAATTCTTTACCGTTGGGCCATCAGTGTAATTTGAGTAATTGTTCACCTTATAACAGGCCTAAGCCATGCTTCAGGGAAAATTACAATCATTCAATTATATAAGCAGTCGAGCCATTCAATAAAAAAGAGAGCCATGCAAAATTTGTGCTAAATTTTTTTTACAAGCTTGCCTCTGTCGCACATACCGCCCTCCTCAAGCCATGTAACATCACAGAGATAAAATTTGTAAATCGTAATGAATTTAAAACAAGCTGCATAACAATGCACATATGCATTATGTAAATAAAATCCTTATAAGAGGGTTTTAGGTGAAAGGAAAGGATTTCTTTTCATTTTATTCTAAAAACCCTTTTATATTTTATAAACTCGTATCATGCAGACAGCAAGAACGCTTAATTTGTTTATAGGAAAGACGTACATGTCCAGAAGGGAATATTTTCCTACAGGGTACTAGTAAATTTAAAGAGTGGGTTACAACCCCGTAACCCCCTCCCCTCAAAATTCGCCACAATAGATACGCTTATGCGAATCTCGCATGGTACTTGATTCTAACACAATGTGTTACAATACTATTTTGTACAGTTCTATATTTTTTGCACAATCAACATTAAATGTGCTAATATTAAATGTGCCATTCATAGTCAGGAAAAAATGATGTAAATTAGACTGAGAAGCTTTTTTTTCATCATGTAACATTCTGTTTTTTTTTTCTATTGGTAAATTTTTTTGCACGTTACTAGAAAGGGGAAAGACGATACTACCGTGTATAAACTTGTGTCAATTCTTGGTATACCAAACACCCCTTTTTTAAGCAATCAATTTTTTTTATATAAAAAGCCTCATTTTGTTAAAGACTTTGTTGACACTAACAAACGACAAAAGACACTGATAAAGATTTTGAGCTAATCACTTTTTGTGCCCCTGATATTGAAGGTCAGAGGCATGTTGATTTAGTTCTGTGTTATTTTTTCACAAATGCAATCCCCCCTATATTTTTATGAGAAGAAGTTTGAGACTTTATTCTTAGAAAATCAAATATAAATGTATTTACTAGATCGAATTTTCTTATCAATCTTCCATTTTTTTCCAAGCACATTTATTTGGATAGGTTCCAAAACGTGAAACTATCTAACACTTCTAAGGAAAAAAGAAAGACTAGTATATTTTTATTTGTTGCACATTATTTTCTCAGAGTAAAATAAAAAAAGATTACAATTATGGAAGCTATAATGTTTTATTTATATGTTTCTCTTTCTGACATCAGCTAAGAAAATGATCTTGATTTTTTAAATAAATACAACTGTGGAAACTTATTTTATTAAATGTGATTAAACAAATCAAAGAATGAACGTACATGTATTCTTGCTCTAATAGTTATAGAACATCATAATAGCCTTGTTAGGCTTTCCTTTAATGGGGATGAAACAGCTTTAGAGATTAACCAGTCTGGTCGAGTCCTCAAACGGCATCTTCGCTAGCCAAGAGATTCTGATACGCTACTCTCCTCATAAGTTTATGAGGAGAGTAGCGTATCAGAAACCCTTGGCTAGCGAAGATGTCAAACGGGGGTATTTAACTCTGCGATAGGCGTTATGCAATGCGCAAGAACAGTAACTCTTGCCGTATCCAATATAAACAAACTTGCCTATATCATCTATCTTAGGAAAAAGATCGATATTATCACAGGAGTTCGCATACCTATCAATTTTACCGAAATTTTCAGTAAATATAAAAGACACGTAATACCTATAATAATAACACTTATTATTATAGGTATTACGTATTTTTTATATTTACTGAAAATTTCGGTAAAATTGATAGGTATGCGAACTCCTGTGATTAAAAGAATTAATTCCGCAATCTTTTGGTAACACTAGTATTTGAGATACATGTATAACTTTGTAAATAAAAGAAAATTAAATACAGTGCCGAATTTATGCTTAAACGAATTTTATCAGATGCACATTTCCAGAACAAATTCACAATCGCCACGAACTACGTTTTGACGTCGTCAGTGTTGAATTAAATGGGTGTAAAATGTAGGCGGGAATCGAGAGTTAGCGTGCGTAGTTCTTGGGCGCACTTGTTTCATAAGCCGGGTCAAGCCGGTAGATACATGTACTTCCGGAAGCGGGCAAGTAACTTGTTCCAAATATTTTTAAACGCCGGGAGGTCAGAAAGTAGCCCGGATCCGGCCAGATGAAAAGCAGTATGGTGGAAAACGGAGGTAGAAATTTCCTTCATGGTGAAATATTCGTTTTTTTTAATCATTTGCAGTAGTTTAAATTTTAATAAACATACAGTACTGAGGTCATAAGTAACTTTTACGAAATGTTCGTTTATATTTGCACGACCAACACTTCCTTTTTAATATTTTAAAGTTACTTTTCAGTTTTGTTTGTAACGAGGCCCTTACAAATTAACAGATTGTGCATTGAATTGATCTAGAAAATATTAAAATGCAAATATATCCATTAATCGTTGTCCTCGTCCGTTCGGAGAAAATTATTTATTGCAGCAACAGCACCCATAACAGTAGCAGGCATTTTTCGGCTGAATTTTCACTCGTTTCAGCGAAGGAGTGAGGTGGGGGGCAAATCAAAAATGAAAATGAGACTGTCAAGGAGGACACACAATACGATCGAAATAAAATATGAAAATGTATTTGAACATCTTCAGTAATAATGTATAGCGCCTAGTTCCAGAAATTGGAAAAGGAGATTCTTTTGGATGACATGTTTTTGAGGATCTGCAGGTTTTATAAAGGTGAGCAACATTTTTTAACATAATCATTGTTAATTTGTTTATTTAGCATGCCAAGAAAAGGTATGCATTCTTGTTTTAGAGCGAACTCAATAAAAGCGGAACTAACGTTAATCTGTGATTTTTCCACAGGGAGATGTGCGCGAGGCAATTAATGTCAGGAGTTTTTAGGGAGGGATCTTAATTTTTACTGGTTCTAAATTAAAGCTAGAATACTTATTATTTAGAAGACTTCGCACCTTTTTCCCGTTTAATTAATTTATTTATTAATCTATTTATTTATTTATTTGGAAGGGGGGGGGGTCCATGCAAATCAAAACTGAAAAGTTAATTACGTTCCACCCCTCCAAATCTTCTGCCGTTAATTGTCTTGCCGGTGTTAGGGGAATATGGGTGAGTTGCATCAATTACACTTTTATTGACTCCATCGCTGTGGAAAATGGCCGGGATTTCTTGGTATGATACATTGCTTGAGTAATAACAATATGAAATACTAAAAAATAATCTCATACGTAATTGATCATAGTATATGCTATTTTTTTTTGGAAGTAATAATGGTTTTTACTAACATATTAATATGACGGAATCCCAGAATGAGTTGATTTTCCGGTGAAATCATTTATATTCAGTATTTCGTGGTCAGGGATCAACCCCCCCCCCTTTCTCGTATTCCCATCGGGATCGTAATCCCCCGTCAGCAGGTGTCGCCAAATTCATCATTTCCGGTTTCTGTAAGAAGATAAACAACGAATTTAATAAAAATTTTATGAATGATGGTAGCCGTGTTTTAGCGGCAAAATTCTCCAGTGATGGTGCTCTACAAGAAGAATGGATGATAGACTTCTCTGCCGCGATGTGTCTCCCACCTCCCCAGATTTTGGATCCTCCTCGGGTAGCAATTCCAGTAGCACGGGGGAGGAGGAGCGTTTACGTCGACTTTTCAACAGTTGTGATGGAGATGGCGACGGATTCCTGTGCAGGTAAAATATCTAGGATGCCAGGGGCGGATCCAATTATTTAGAACAATGCTTCCAACTGATCTCTGAAACCCAGACTGTTAAACTCTTTCACATCTGTTCCTATTCTCTATTGAAAAGTTGATGGCTCGTTTTAATACTCCCCCTCAAGGGAGTAATATGTTAACGGTGCGACCGTTGGGGCGAGCGCATTGTTCACTTGATTTTAAGATCCGCCTCTTCAAACCCCACGAGACATTTGGAAAGTCTAGACTGTGACGTCACATGACGTCGTTTGTTAGCTGCATTTCCATAAACGAAGTTTGTAACGTGCAAAATTTTTAACAAAGAACGTTTAATCTGCAATTTGTATGCATATCCATTAAATTACGGTGATTTTTTTTGTGTGAATTTTTAGTTGTTGTTACCGTGCGAACGAAGTTAGCAGCGAGAACAACAAGCGATGCATTGTGGGTCCAGAATTACTGCGGAAAAAAATTCGTTTGGATCAATGTGAAAGTCTGAATTTTCTCTTGCCCAGGCGTTGTTGTTAGAGCTCGCATTGCGAGCGGTGCTTTGCGCCACTTGCTGCGCTTGCGATTAAAACTAGCCATCAACTTCTCAATAGAGAGTAATCTGTTCCATATTGGACAACTTTTGGGGTACATAGGGTTATAGGGTATACCCATGTAAAATTAAGGAATCTCACATCTAAATGTTGGACTGGCCAATGAAATTGGAAAATAAAGCAGCATTTGCTTTTATTGAAAGAAACCCCACCATTCTTTTATATATTCATTTACTGAACATGCTAAAACTAAAAAAGTGAAACTTTGTACTAAAAATACTGTTCAATCATGTTGAAGACTTAGTATCGGAATCCATGTACCAAACATATTTGATGACATCATAATTTAACTGGACAAAACCTATTCTCTTTTGAGAAGTGGACATGCATGCAGGCTTTCACCTAGGCGAAAGCCTGTCCACTTTCTAAAGAGAATAGACAAAATCATGCATTCATTTTACAACATGTTTAAATATTACTACTATAACAGGAAAGGAGAAAATGTATCATGGCTGGACCGGGAATCGAATCCAGGACCACTGCATCATTAATCAGGTGGTCTACCAACTGAGCTACCTAGACTGTTATCCACAGCCCAATCCATAACATTCCTCTATCCTTAACTTGTCTTCGCCCTCAAAGACACAACCCAAGTTCTTGTTAGCCCCAGGCAGGACTTTCACTTGCAAGTCCAGGGGTGGTAGATGGCACCAAATCTGTAAAAGGAAAGGAGAAAATGTATGGGTGCCCGGTGGACCAGGAATAGAAAACCATGGACTCCTGCATCACTAGTCAGGTGCTCTACCTACTGAGCGACCCCAAGCCGATATTCACGGCCCAAACCATTACACTACAATGCATGCATTAAAGTTATAATATCAACTGATTACAAAAAATGAGATTATGTTTTTTATTTCCAGTGATGATTTTATCTACATGTGTCGACAGCTGAACATGGAGGATATGGCTGAAGAAATCATGGAACAGCTCGGTCTACAGTCACAAAGCAAGATCACTTTCCAGGACTTTCTTCGGTTTAGAGGCCAGGTAAACTGTTGTCGTTAATGAAATCAACGTTAATATGTTGACGCTGCGACCATTAGGGCAAGCACAGATACACCTTTTCAGTATACTATTTCATGTATTTAGACCCATCTCTTCAAACCACACGTGACATTTGGTGCATCTAGATATTCTGACGTCACATGATGCCGTATATATAAGTTGAATTACCAAACCCAAGCCTGAACAGTGCTGATTTTATTGAAGAAAGCTTTATTTACTTTTTCATTAAATTAAGGCGAGTTTATTTTTTGTTGAACTTTTATTGTAATTCTCATGAGAATGTAGCTGAAAAAAGCGATGCATTTTGGGTCCAGAAATTACTGAGGAAAAAAAAAATCATTTGGATCAATGTGCAAGTCCGAATTCTCTCTTCGCCTACATGTGTCTTTTAGAGCTCGCTGCACTTGATAGGGCCAACAAAAAATAATAGTCTTGTTTCCTGCTACCAGCCAAAAAAAAAAAAAAGGGTAGGTAGGTAGGAAAATTATTTTATTTTTTTCCAACAGTATTTTTGGGATATGGATTAATACAAACCAAATTAAACAAGTCATAGGTCAATATTATCATTTAAAATTAAATTCATGTGTTTTTATGCTCAACTCAAGAGTTATTTTATGAAAGTCCATATTAAAACATACAATTTCATGAAATACCACATGAACATATATATTTTTTTTCAGTTTTGGAACATGAAATTCCTGAAATTACCGATTTTTTTCAAAAACTAAAAAAAACTTTAGGGTCGGGTGCAAAACAATAGGGTCAGTCGGGTAGCAGGAAACAAGAATATTATTTTTTTTGGCCTAATATCGTGTGATCACATACCAGTTTGACATGTCATATCTTAATAAAACTCTAAAAAATGATATTTTATCTCATATTTTATTTTAATCTGTTATACACAGAAAAATATTCACTATTTAGATTTTGTAATGGAAATGCAATATATATCGTACATGTACGATGTCATGTGACATCACAGGCTAGCCCTTCCAATGTCTTGTTTGGTTTGCTTTCCATACCCAAGAAAGTTGACACACGTGTCCAACTTCTTGTCATTGGAAATTGAATGTCATTTTAATTCATACTGTCATATAAGGAAAGACATCAACAAATGTAAATATTTATAAACACAACACATGGCATGGATGTGTGTATTGCTAATTTATGATTATGCCAACCACTCAATTCCCAGTGATTGTGCTAAATTTTGAATTGGTCAATTTATGTACAGTTTCTATTTTTAGGTACAAAATGAGGAGTTAGATCTAAGTCTTGGGGTGGAGGATCAAGGAATTGATTCTGATCTGAGTGGAGCCTTACGCAATCCAGACAATGTAACCTCCTGGCCCACAATGTCTAGTGACAGCTTTGGTAATTCTGCTTTCTTTCTTTCTTTCAACAAATTAAAGTAACCACTTGAATGCATTCTAATCTTTTCTCGGGGGTTCAGAATAGGATTTCATTTCTTTGAAATATCTGAGGAAATTTTCCCTATAAATTCAATGAAGTGTAAAAATGAACCATCTGTACCTTCAGAAATGAAGACATACTCATAGGATGTGTATTATTATTTATATTTTGTACCCCCCCCCCCCACAAATGTATATGTTAACTGCTAAGAAAATCTTGTTTTGATGGGGGGGGGGGGGGGTATAGAGTGAAGGAAGATATGAGAGAAGAATAAATGTAGATATTTATATATAACCATGCTAAAATATAAAAAAAAAATTTACAGAATAAAGATATTAGCTTTTCATCAGTTTTAAGGCATACTCTAGAAAGCCAGATAGTTTGCATTATGATTTTGTCTTTAAGGGCATACTCTTAATAGTCAGAGAGTCTGGATTGTATAATTTTATTTTTAGAAGCTTGCTTAGGTAAGCCAGATAATTTGAATTGTGACTTTATTTTTAGGGGCATACTATTGTTACCCAGATTAATAAGTGTGGATTGTGATTTTATTTTTAGGGGCATACTCCTGCTAACCAGATAATCTGGATTGTGATTTTATTTTTAGGTGCATACTCCTGCTAACCAGATAATCTGGATTGTGAATTTAATTTTAGGCGCATACTCCTGCTAACCAGATAATCTGGATTGTGGTTTTATTTTTAGGGGCATACTCTTGTTAACCAGATTAATAAGTGTGGATTATGATTTTATTTTTAGGGGCAAACTCCTGCTAACCAGATAATCTGGATTGTGATTTTATTTTTAGGGGCATACTCCTGCTAACCAGATAATCTGGATTGTGATTTTATTTTTAGGGGCATACTCCTGCTAACCAGATAATCTGGATTGTGATTTTATTTTTAGGGGCATACTCTTGTTAACCAGATAATCTGGATTGTAATTTAATTTTTAGGGGCATACTCTGGAAAGCCAGATAGTCTGGATTATGACAGTGGAGCCAGAGACATGAGTCCAGAGCCAGCCAGCTTACACCATCTTGTAGAATCCCACAATCCCAAGCTCCTCAGCTTAGCTCAGGATGACAGATTAGGAACGGAAATCCTGGATGTAGCTAACAGGGTGAGTATAAGATAAGATAAGATTTACTGTATTCAGAGTTAATTTCGCCCCGTGTTATTTTCACCCTTTAACACTTGCAATCAATTTTGCCCATTTTAAATTTGCTCAATCACAGTTCTGCTTAAGAAATTATACTGTGTTCTTTGAATTTGCCCCATTTTAAATTCGGCCAACTGAGAATAGGGCTAAAAGAGCAAAAATAAAACAAGGACAAAAATTTCCCTGTATACAGTATTGAAACTAATTTGGGGCCCTTCAGTAAAGAATGTAAAACAAGCATGGATGGGTAGTAAACAACAGAATGACTAAAATTTTCAGTCTCATTCTGTTGATGATTGACATTTTGTTGTTATATATTTATTCATTGACAGTCTATGCTTAAGACAATGGATTGGACCATCAGACCTGAGGTATGTACAGTGCCTCAGGTCCAATACTTCAATTTTTACACCGAACCAGAATGTCCAATGGTCGCACGCATGATGCAGTGGTTAGAGCGTCTGCTCTAGAGTCGCAGAGTAAGGAGTTGATCCTTACGTTGCGGGTTTGAATCCCACTGCGGGACATGGAGATCGGTCTTTTGGATGAGACCATATAAACTGAGATCCCGTGTCATGGCAGGCATTGGCACAATAAAGATCCCTCATTGCTCAATGGCCCTGGGCAGCTGGCCCTGAGTGTCGAGTATAGGTCAAAATTTGCAGCCCTCCACTGGTAACTGGTGGCGTCTCCATATGGAGTGAAAAATTCTCAAGAGGGACATTAAACAACAAACAAAAGAACATCCAATATATCAGTGTCCAGTTTTGAGTTTTACTTGTTTGACATGGAGTCAAAAAAACGTTTGTTTTAAGAAAAAAATATCACACAAATCCAAGTATGTAATTGAGTGTTATTAAAACTGCACTGGGCATAAGATTTCCTTGGCTCTGCATTTTCACATGTTTCAGTCTTTCTTACATAAGGTTTTTTGGTCTGCTAATATTTGGGTCAGTCCTTTGTGACCCAAAAACTTTCGCATAGACTGCTTTGATAGACATATAAATATGGATACATAAGATTGTATTTCTTTTGAATTAGGAAACATATTTGAAGTAATCAAATAATTCCCGGTAAAAAACTGTAGGCATTTTAGGTTCTCCATGTTTACAGTTATGTAACCTAACCCTCGATCCCGCATTGCTGATAAAAAGAATTATCCTTTGTAAATTCAGTAAAGGAAATACGTAAAGGAAATATGTACATTCTTCATTGTGTATGAATATGTAATTATATGATTCATCAAACATAAATGGTAGTTGATCAATTGTCCAAGTGCAGAAAAATAATTTTACACAAATTTCAGCTTTAATACATATTGTATAAAGAAATGCCTTTAATACGAAAGAATTAATCAGATTATACTAAAAGTGTGTTATATATAGCTAAGTGAAATCAAGAAAATCTGTTCCCTGTAAGTTGAAATTGGTTTAATTTCATGTTTGTGTATTAGAAAATCATGGGCAATAGTAATGGGTGTGTTAATTAAGCTAAAGATATTGAATGCATCAAGAATGCAAGATTAATCAAACGCTAATACATGTATAATTTATTTTTAATATGATATCAAAGAAGTTACCATATGATTATACTAATAGATTCTGCTGTGTCAAAACTCTTTACCTTAATGCATTACTTTTTGTTTGTTCCAACTGATGTTTTTAAATGGAAAAAGATGGAAGATTTTTATACATTATGTTTTTAATGATGTTGTGAAGTTTATTCTATGATCAAAAGAATGAAAGAAGTCTAAATTAGATGAGCAGTGTTGGACTTGGTCGAGAATTGCTACAGGATTTGGTTAATAGCTTGATAGACTCATTAACAATCGAATACACTAAGAAATCAATTTGGGGAAAACACCAAAACTTACACAATAATCCTGCATTATTGATACCATTCCCCATTATCTCGGTTTCTAAGATTTTGGATTTGTTCTCCAATCCCACGTTTTCCAACATTGATTTCGCACTTTTATTTCAACATTGATTTATATTTTGTCTGCTACAGCTAAATAACAGACAAAGTTGTTGATTTTGCCGTAAAGCATGCAAATTTGATTTTTGTCATTTGAAAGGTTTCTTTTTCTAGTCAATACAAACATCGACCGGGAATTTGGGACCAACCTCCAATGTTAAAGAAAATGCATATGAAAGATTTTCCCGCTCCATAATTAAGTTATTTTTAGCATCCTAGCTTGTACATGCACGATGTTCATGTTTGTTATTCTTTTTGAAGCTGAAATTTTTTTTATTTTTATCCTTTACTGATTATGATGTTATTTTTGTCATATCCACTCATAGTTTTTCCACAAAAGAATTCTCCTTCAGCACTGGTTTTGCAGTTGTGTAATTTGAGTTTTTTTTTTTTTTTTTTTTTTAAAATGCTTTGACAAATTGTAATGATTCGTGTATTTCTAGTGTGAAAAATAGGGAAAAAAATGATGGGGATAATTTTCTACATTCCTAATTAAGGAACTGTTATATTTTGATAACAAATTGATTTAATAATGAATTGATAAGTTCAACATTTTTTCTTCCTAAATACTGACTGTAACTTTTCATAGCATTCTTTATTGCAGAAAAATGCCTCAACCTTTTTTTGAAATAAAGATTCAAGCAGAAAATACTGAATTTTTTTAAGCAAACACACAACAGTTTATACAATTGATAAAGTCAATATAAATCATAGCATTTTTTTAGAGTGGGCTAATGAACATGATGAAGCTCATGAATAGAGTAAACAGAACTAAATGACGATAATGAATAATTACAAAGCTTCCAGTTGTTTGGGAGTGCTCGGAGTTTGTTGACTTTTTGATTATGATCAATCAATTACCATCTGGTGAATTCCAAGCCATTATAGATTAGTAGTTTTTTTTTTTTTTAACGTTTTTTTGTGTTTTATTAGTGTGGTCCAGAGTTTTGGCAGAAAAAAAAGCAGCAAATAGTCACAAGGGAATTTTGTGGCCAACACTGAAGAAAAATTGGAGATTTCATAAGCACATGAAGTGTGTGCAATGGAATCCTAATTTTATGAATAACTGAAAATAGATATAATAGACTTGCAGAGTAAGATTCCTTTATGACAGATTTTAGAAGCATGATAAGGAATTTTGATAACATTTGAAAAAAAAAAATGACTGGTATTGAAAACTTTTGTGATTATGTGGCTCAGAAATTAAAAAAAAAAATTTAATGCATTAAAATCAATGATCAATAGGAAAATAAAAATAAAGAAATAAGAAATTTAGTACATGTTTCTACTACCGGTAGATGACAAACTTTTTTTTGTGTACTTGACAAAGACAATTTAAAGCATTTAATTATTCCCGTTAAAAAAAAATTTGTTTCACTAAAACTATAATTTCCTTGATCGGTATTTGAAGAAAAAAAAAATCCATAGACGTATTCCTGCATTGTGCATTTGCATAAGACATCATTAACTGAGCAAAAAGTCAGTGCAGGGGATTGCTAGTATTGATTGTCAGACAAGTTGCTTCTGAAATGTTTTATGGATGCATGCAACAGTTGTATAACATTTTGAGCGCAACAGATAGACTTGAAAATTGCAGCTATTTTCAAGTTTTTGTAAAGAAGAAACAAAAGTTTATAGAGGAAAGGAATATATAAGCCATTGTAAATTAAAGTTGATGTCTATTTTTTTTTTTTTTTTTTTTGCTAACCTGATGTAAAATCTTCTTCTTAGTCTTCAAGGGGAAAAAAGGGTCAATTGAAAGTGCATGTACTGTGCTTGTTGGAGTGGTGACTCACTGACAGTGTTTTTGTTTTAAAAGTAGATATATAAGAAAATAAATATTACTTGTTAATATTCCAAACTTTTATACTCACTGAAATTTAAAAAAGAAATCGGGATTCATGAAACAGACTTCATTGTGATCAATGATAATTATTAAATTAGCAAAATGGTATCTTCAAATGTATATATAGTGTTCTTCTATATTGGAAAAATATTACAAGTAATGGAAACCATTTATTCTAGTGACATACAAACTATTGTACAATATGATACTGAACATGAAGCCATCAATAGGATGACAGGACTATTAATTCAGCCCTGACTATATAAACATACACACTGTTGGCCAGTGGCAATTAAGACCGACTTTGTTTGTACTGGATATTTTTTTTTCTAGGTGAATGATTCATTTTGAAGAATTTCAGTGTGATGGAAGATTTTTTTATCAGATCTAAGAGCAACTGACATTGATATGGGAATTATTGTATATGAGTTGAGTTGAATGTGTGTGTCTGCAGTCAGTCTCTTCTTGATATTTCAGCAGACGGCAATTTTCTCCATCAAGGAGGCAGAGATACTAACATGATATAAGTGCAAGCAGACGACCAGTGAGAAAAATATTCAATATAGCAACATTGAGTTTTTCTTATGATTGTGAAATTGTCTGCATAGTTATATTTATTTTTGGACAGAGGATGTAATTTTTGAGTGTTTTGACTTAAAGGTGAAGTGTTTTGACTGAAGGATTAGATAACAAATTTTTACAGATGTTAGTGAGCTCTAGGGTCATTTTAAAGTGTGGGAGTATGTAATTTCATATTTGACAGTGTTGGATTTCTAAAGGCAGGACATTGCATATTGAAATCTTTTTCCAGCAGAAATATTTGGGGAGTGGGAGATATTTTGCCAATACATGTACATCATAAAAAATCTGGTGATCAGGCATGTAGGATTTTTACAAGGGATTTTTGATGATTTTGTGAAATTTAGCCAATTAGATTTATGAAATTATGGATTTATGGTGATGTTTGGAAGCAGTTGGATTCATGTTTCTTAATTTCTAAGCCTCAGTGATGGTTTGAAATTCTGGAATTCAGGGAACTGTTTTATTTGAGATGCAGCATGCTGAGACCATAAACATATTCACTGTGAGATGGATATTTGAGATTTTTCACAGACAGATTATTCATTAGAGCATTTAATTGACCTGCTTTGTTAATGATATAAAATTTTTGGGATGAAATTAATAATGAACTTGATGAAAACCTATCCAGACTGTACATATATACACACATGGAGAATTTTAATAAAATGATGTGGTTCCATGCAGTAGAAAATTGAACATTGGTAAAAAGCCAATTGTATAAAATCAATGGAATTTGAGAAACGCAGTGTATAGGCTTATCATGTCTACGGTTATGATATAACCAAGGAACAAAAGTGATCGTGTTCCTACAGCACTGATAGTATTGATGGAAAATTAGTTTTTAGTGCTCAACACAGAAGTTGAATGGGATTGAAATATGTTCGGTAACATGTACTTTTCTAAATGGGATGCTCTCGTACAATGTGTGAAGGATAGAGAATTTTTGAGGATTAATCCTTTTATTCAGGAAAATTAAAGAATATTTTAAAAAAATCATGACAGTGTTATCAAAATGCTATGATAATTAAGAAGCTGTTAAAAGTTTCATCTGGGACGTACTATTTTGGAAAAATAATTATTCACTTATGGAGGGAGCAGGAATTATAGAATCCCCAACATACGAAAGGATTTATGTGAATGGTTACCATGGTAACCAACCAAAACAACACAGCTGTGTAGAGGATAATCCAAGCTGCCAGGTGATCCTGTCTATTTCCATGTTACACATTCCGATTCAGTCATGTGTTTTAACCATTCACAGGTTTATCATGTAAACTTAATGTATTTATAAGTTAATCTCTCTCTCTGTGCAGCTGTATGAATTGAACCTTTCTCTCTTTCTCTTAATCCAAGTCAATGAATTCAATGATCATATAGACATTCAGGAAATAAAATTAAAATAGATAAGGATGCTTTGGGTTTAATTAATTGAATCAGATGCAGATTTTTCTTTCCCCCGAAAAAGAGAGCAGTATGTCATAACAAAATTAACCATTTAAGCCAATTCTTATGAAGTGTAATTCTTTTAACTGTAATGTACATAGAACGTAAAGAAAACCGCCCTCTGATTGAATAAAAATGAATTTCATTTCGATAGATATGAAAATTAACCATAAAAAAAATAACAAAAATTAAAGTCTTGAGATTCTGATTCATTTAGTAATTGTTAAACAGATTTTCTTTAAGTGAAGGAGGTGAAGTAACCCCCCCTCCCCCTCCCCCCTTCACACACACACACACACAAACCACCACCACCACCACTTACACACACCACCACCACCACACACAAGTCATTTGAATGTATGAAGTTAAACTTATTTCATCTGGTTGGCCGAAATATTTAACACGTTACCAGAGCCCTAATGTTTAACTTAGTATATAGGTCCCTGACAAATTATCATATATATATAAATAACTAGTTCATAAACATATAATAGACTTTAAGAGTGTATTGAGTGAACTGCAAAAAATCAGAAATACTTTACCTGCATTTAAGAGATACATAAACCCAACAGCTGCTTATATCTACATATGGAAAGACCATTGATCATTTTAACAAGGGAAGGATGTCCAGAAATTGTGTACAACGTAACATTTTTGAGGTTTTTGGGGGTCAGATATTTTCCGTGTCATTGGACAAATTTTTATTGAGGAAGGAACTCAAATTTCCTGATTCTCGGGTCTGCATGCCCTTGTAGATTATTATATAGACATGAGCTTGAAAGTATATATAACTATAAACAAGTGTTTTAGAGGTGCCCTGAAGGATTGAAGTTTTTTTTTTCTGAAATACTTTCATTTATGATGTAGTTGACATGGTTCAGTGATTTGAATTTTATACTTAAAATGAGGCTTTCATTTATGTTTATCAAGAAATATTGAAGAAAATAAAATTTCATAAATTTGTTTTCAATGTTTGCTGATATTCTAATAATTTTTAGATTCCCCTTAGTGAGCCTCATGTCATGAGAGGTCACTCTCACACAAAATGTAAAGATATTTTTTTTTTTTTTAAATTTTAAAAGCTCTTATATAACTCAGAATATAACATTATTTATGACAAAATGGAAATGGACTGTGTTATCGTTAGGAAGTGATATATTGTTCAAGGAAAAAAGTTGAAAATTAAATAATTAAAAATCAAGTGAGAAGAGATCATCTGTTGATTAACAAACTGAATTACATCAAGGAATTTCTCGTACCTCATTGAGATTCTTTTTGCATCATTTTTCATCTGAATTTAGAATTGTGAACAGTTGTATTAGATTCATCTTAATCTTGGACATAACAGTTTACTTTAAAAGCTTCATGTTATGGAATTATTATTTTTCTGAATTGGTGTATTTGCAATATTGTGATAGAGAAGCAAGTCTAGAGTGAAAATTTCTTTCAGCAACTGCCTTCCCAGAATTCTTTTGTGGCTCTTATGAGTGTTTTGAGTATTAGGTCTTGAGCTGCAAATATGAATCTTAAAAAGGATAGAAAGTTTGGGAGTCTTGTTCAACAACGATTAGAAAAATACGAATCTTTGGTAAATCTATCCACTCAGTTCAAACCAAGACCCCCCTGTCACACGTATAAACGTTCGTGGTCTTATGACGAAAAAGAACTTGACTCCAGAAAGACAAACCTTGACACTTTACATGAAATTAAGTTAATAAGTCTATCCACTCAATTTAAAGCAAGACCACCAGGTCACTGGTATAAACGTTCATGGTCCTACGATGAAAAAGAACTCAATTCAAGGAAGACAACTCTTGACACTTTACATGAAATTAAACAGGAATCGGGTTTAAATTGCAAGAATGAAAGAGAACCAGAATATGTAAGATTTTCATAAACTTTTTCAGCTCAATATGTGCTAATAATTTAAAATAAAAGAAAGAAATGTGCATGGATTAATATTTTGATACTTTAATTCTGCTGGGTTTCTACCAGATGCGGTACAGTCAAACCAAAGTACTGTTAAAAGGAAGTCACCATATTAAGGATTCAAATTTTGTTTCCTTATGTCAGGAAAACAGAGCAATTTAAATCTCCTATGGGATTACATAAAAATCTCTTTATAACTAGGATATCCTTATATGTGACCTCTGTAAAATAATTGAATTTTGTTGTATATCTCAAAAATGACAGCGCTGTCAGAAAACTTCCACATAATATAAAAGGGTTCAAGATAACAAGGTAGAAACTTAATCTCAATATAATAAGATTGGACTGTTGATTCACATTAACGTTAGTGTTCAAGACACCAAGGTTCAACTGTATTATTTTTAAATATTTTACTTTCAAAGATTACCATTGTGAAGTCTTATATTTTTAGCTCCATCTAGCAGCATTGACTTCCTTGAAAGGGGAGATAATAGAACTAAACAACAGGCTTCACCATGTGACCAGTGAACGGGACGTGTTAGAGAAACAAATCAATAGGATACAGGTAATTGTTTATACCTGTCTGAAATATTTAGCCCTTAGAGACGGGGGATTACAGGTATTAAATGGTTTATACTTAGCTGAAATATATATTTAGTCCTCAGAAAGGGGGGATGTTTAAATATGTTCTGTAACAGTATAATGAATTATATATAAAGCATTATTTAATATTAAGAATTATCTCTTTTAGCTGTCATTTTTTCCTCTATTTATAATTACCTCCCCTACCCCCCCCCCCCCCCCCCAAAGAAAAAAAGGAAAGGGTGAGGGCTCAGAGAGGGGGTGTTCAAATCTGTACAGCCTCTATAGTGAATAATATGCAAAGCATTATTAAGAGTTATCTTTTTGCAGTCATTTTTCCTGAATTTGCACCTCCCCACCTCCCTTCAAAAAAAAAAGAGAAGGGGGGGGGGTTCTACCAGGTAGTCTCTTTGTCTCTTTTAATGTAGATATTTGTATTCTAACCAAATTACAGGCAGATAAAGTGAGACTGCAGCATGAGTGTGATACAAGAATCGAGATCACCACGGGACGGTATGAGGAGCGGATCACAGAACTTCACAGTGTCATAGCAGAGCTTAGGAAAAAAATAGAGAGGCACCACATTAATGTTATCAGGTATGGAAAAAAGTTAGAGGAACACCAAATTAATGACATTAGGTAGGAAGAACTCAGAGATAAATGAAATTAATGCCTTCAAGTTTGAAATATGTGGAAAAACATCAAAATAAATGTCCAAGTATGAAAAAAGTAGAGACGTACAGCAGATTAATGTATTCAAATAGTTTAAACCAAATAATATGCTTAAATAGGGTTAATTTGTGGGGTGATGAATTTTTGTAAATGAATTGTTGCAAAATATTTTATCAGGCACAAACAGATGGAGTATATTTATGCCACCATTCGAAGAAGGGAGGGCATATTCTTTTGCTGCTGTCTGTCAGTCGGGCGGTCTGTCTGTTTGCTGGTCCACCAACAGTATCTGTTCATTTTCTTCGCAGAGGTTGCACAAACTGAAATGAAATTTGATATACAGATTTATCATAAGAATATCTAGATCAAGTTCTGTTTTGGGTACGATCAAGCAATTTTTGACAGAGTTATGCCCCTTGGACTTGGGAAAATTACAATTATTTGCAGTTTCCATTCATTTTATTCGCAGAGGTTGCACATACTGAATGAAATTTGGTGTACAGATTTATCATAAGAATATCTAGGTCGAGTTCTGTTTTGGGTATGATTGAGCAATTTTAATTAGACAGAGTTATGTCCCTTGGACTTCAAAAAATTCCAATTATTATTTTTTGGGGGGGGAGGGGGGGGGGGGTCATAAGTGTTTCACAGACATTTCTTGTTTAAAGGAATAACGGTGAAGGTCATGAGATTTGTAGGCCAGGAAGTAACAGAAAAATTTGTAAAGATAATATTTTGAAGGAAGAGTACAGAAATAGACTCTTGGAATGAGATCAAGGTACATTAGTGGAAAAGGAAACAAAATAGAGAGCTTTTATCTATATAAGCAAGAAATAAACTACATCTGTGTTAATGTACTTATAAAAAAACACAACAGCACACAAGTTTTGTTATTTCTTAATTATGTGGAAGAAAACTATGTTCTTGTTTTTTTTCATCAGAAAGAAAAACTTTTTAAAGAAGATCTCTAGCCATAACGAACACAGATGAATATGTAAATACATAGGGTGCATGTTGGAATTTAAATAACATTTAAATTTACTATATCTCAGTAGGTTTTTAAGGACAGGCATAAAATTAATCAAGGAAATTCATTAAGAAAGGCATTAAGAAAAAAAAGGGGGGGGGGGGGCAATTCAGCATCTAAAGTGTCTGAGAGAGTCAGATTACATTTGATCACAGTAATGTTTACATTTATATGTACTTCTTTCTTTCCCCCTTAACTTGCATTTATGTAATGGAGACATATAAGTGCCTCCACTTGGGATTGAACCCGGGGCTTCTGGCATGCCAGTCCAGTGCTCTACCAATTGAGCTAAAGTGTTAACCCATAAGCCCAAGCTAGTAGGATGCCATGTATCTTACACTACCACATATAACCTTAGACTTATAAGGGCTATGATACTTATTCAGTTGATTATATGGTATATATATACCAGGGGGTATTTCATATATCATGCCTCATGAAAAAAAATGGAAGTTAGAATTCACTCAGAGTCTTTTTTTTTTGTCTAGACTAGTGTAATGCCTTACACATACGATATAGTGATGATGGCTGCATTGAAGTGATGGTGGCTTTTCTCTAAACTTTGTCCTCAAAATATTTCTTGAACCAAGCAGTAAATGATATCTAAATGCACAATCATAAATGTACATCAATAATTTTGGGCTTATTAGATAATTGCAGAGATAAGAATATTTGTAATTGGTCATAAAAAGGTATCAGTTTAAGATAATTTTGTACCCTTACATAGTATAAAATTACCAATATTTTCATACATCGGTCCTTTGGATGAGACAGTATAAACTAAGTCGAGGTCCCATGTTGCAGTATCAGCTGGCACAAAAAAGATCCCTCACAGCTCAAAGGCCACAAGTGCCATTAAGTAATTTGCAGCCCTCCACTGGCAAGTTGTGGTGTTTCAATATGAGTGAAAAGTTCTTAAAGGGACATTAAACAAACAAATATTCACACATTTATTCAAGTAGACTTCATAAGTTTCTTACCAAATTTTTGTACATACCATTAAGTTAGATGAGAATAAATACTGTCTGAAGAGAGATTTATTGAGAAGAGAATCATGCTAATGATTTCTTCCCAGATTGAAGCTGGAAACATTAGCTGCAAAAGGTTAACTGTTGAATGCTATTCCCTTGAATAAACAAAACAAGAACAAAACCCACAAAATCAATACCGTGGCATGCCACGGAGGATAGCTCCAGAGAGAAAGGGGGGATGCATAACATTTAAGTGTCTTTGACTATGGGTTCCATAATCATCTATTGATTAGCAATTATATAGTGTATGTTTGGGGGCTTTAACATGCACTTAATGGACTTGTGCTACAGTGTGTAAGCAAGGATGTTGACACTCATCCAAAAGAATCTGGAATCGGAGCTGATAGAGTGCATAACTTTGGAAGTCAGAGCTTATTAAAGTTTTATTTAGCAGTGGATGATTTGAATTCCTCTCTCTCTCTCTCTCTGATTTCTTTTAAACCAAACACATTGTTTAAAAAAAATTCCTCATGTGTTTGATGTTTGAGGAGAAATCATCATCATCATCATTTTTTTTCAGTTTGTAAAATATGCAACAGATTACAAATAAGTTTTTTTTAAACTCGTATATAATTTCTCTTCTTTCATTGGCAATTTCATTATTTAACTTAGGTCCAAAAAATATCAGATTTTGTGTAAAAGGTATTTTTTATTTTTAAAGTTTTTTTTACATTTACTTCCTTAAACCAAAATAAATACAGTGAAACAAGGTTACAGCAAATATGCTATAAGTCACTGTATATGGAATTCATTCGTACATTACATAGTGATTTTCATTCCCTGAAATAAATCCCATACCATAAAAGATATTACATGTATAAACTTATCAGATATATATCATACAATAAGTAACTTTTATAATAAACCAAAATTGTTTGTCCCTGGCACTAAAATTGCTATAAACATGTTTTACTGTATTTCCAACTGTTTTCAACCCTTTCAACTGTCTGCAGTCACAGCAGTTACTTTAATGAGGGGGTGTAAGTGTCATATAATGTCATGGATGTATTAAACTCAGCTGGGACTTTTAGCCATCTCTCTTTGATCATAAATAGTCTAGAAAGTGACAGTCCTATAATGAAAACTAAATTATGATTATATATGGTAAATTAAGATTTTGTAAATGTTAAAGATAAAAAAAACACTATCCTTCCTTATTATTATTAATAAATGAAAAAAAAGGAATTAAATCATGATGAAGTTAGAAGTTATGTGCATGTTTCTATATTTGTGCCAAATTTTGAAAAAGCTCAAATTTAAGTAGTACACATAATAAATGTGTTCATGTATGATTATATAGTTCATAGAAAAAAAAAAATTAAACTACTCTTTAAATTTGAGCTAACATCCAGTCCTATATTAATTAGTTAATCACTGTTCTGTTGTATTTCAGAGCTAACATCCAGTCCTATATTAATTAGTTAATCACTGTTCTGTTGTATTTCAGAGCTAACATCCAGTCATATATTAATTAGTTAATCACTGTTCTGTTGTATTTCAGAGAGGAAGACGAGTATGAAGACGCAGCTGTCCAGAGTAATAAAAGTAACGATGGAGGAAGTCGGGCGGCTAACGACTCTCAGGCCAGCGGTCTAGGTACGAACGGATGTTTTCAATTTATAAATGTTTATACAAATATTGACATCCTATGTTTTGGGATTCTTACTACATACTACAGTACGTCTGCCTTATTTAATAATAAATGTTTAATGTCATGCTAATGAATCCAAGACCAACAGTCTCAGGACTTACTGATTTTAAAATATTGAAACAAGTACTGAGATTCCAATTTCTTACCACTGCCTTGTTTTACATCAAGATATTTGATATCATGACTTGACCATTTTGACATAGCTTATTCCCACTTTTTTAAGGGAATTTCATAACTCACGTAATTGACAGACACATTTTAGATCAGTTTGACTCGGGTAAGCATTGATGTCCATGGGCTTCTTGCTACAAATATCATAACCTACTTTAATACAGATATCCTTGGCAATGACTTGAACACGGAAATGTCCCGGGTAGTGACGGCCCTGGATAATGTGATCGAGAATCAACCAATGAAAACGGGGCAGGACACGGTAGAGGAGGGCTGTAATACAGAAGAGGCCCTTTGTGATATTGAGGACAATGACAGTGTAGAGGAACTAGCTTTACAGGTAAGGAGGACAAAATACTTTAATAATTTGTCCTCGTTGCCTTGCAGGTAATGAGGTCAAATTTTGTAAATGTGGAAATTGTTTGGGTAAATGTTACTAATCATGTCCTTCTGATCTTAAGAAGAAGATTGATAAAGAAATTTTCTGTATGTTTTAGTTTTGCAAATTTTTTGTGGACTGGAGAATATTAATTATCATAATTTTGACATGATTAACTCTCTTGTATGAACTTTCATTGAAACCAACATGCATGCACAAAAATTTGATTTCAAATTCCTAACAATCTAATTAAAATTAGATGTTCCGAATCCGCTACCGCTTCTCAAACATCTAACAACATCCCATTCGGGGTCACGTCAGAGCGACCTTTCGATTACCCAATAAAATCGCCGTCTCTGAAATCTTGGCTTATAGTTCGGATGCGTTTCTTTTTTTACTGCCAAACCTAAACACCCGAGGGGTTTCGTAGTAAACAAAATATGCATGGTAAGAACGTGCTAAAAATAAATATGACGTGCGGGATATATAGACGTATACATGTAGTTTGTGCATTTTCGTTTGCATTATTTAGGTAAGAATACCAGATTGGCGGACTATACGTTCAATTTATACCAAAATTACTTTAATTCAACGTAAGACAGTCTACTGAGCATCAATAATGTTAAGATGTAGCCGTGGAACTAATTTTAGAATTGTATACAGAAGGTTGAATCTGATTTGCCAAAATTTTTATGTTTATTCATAATCGAAAGGTCGCTCTGACGTGACCCCTAATGGGATGTTGTTAGATGTTTGAGCAGCGGTAGCGGATTCGGAACATCTAATTTTAATTAGATTGAATTCCTAACATTCCTGTATATCTGTTTAAAACAGTGTTCTTTATTTCCAGGCATGTAAACAAATGGATGCCCTTGACCTTGAATCTCCCCCTTCACCCCCACCCCGAGGCCTTAGACCAGCCACTTTCCATCCTCCTCCCCCACCCCCTCCCAACGAGTACCCTGACCCCGCCTACCTACAGGAAGTGATTTTTACCCTCAGACAGGATGCAATGGTGCTACAGGAAACTGTACAGAGGCAGGAGGCGGAGCTTAATATGCATAGAGCTGCAATTGGCAGCCTCAGGGAGGAGAGAGACAAGTTAAGGCAGAGGGTGAGGCAATAAAGGGAGATAATCTTCATGAAGTGTCATTTTGTAACTGAATGAAATAATCTGTTGTGGGGATAAAAAACTTTTATTCAGAAAATGTGTACTATGCTCCTAACATCCATTTGTCACTACAAATAATAACTTACTTTAGGTCAATAAAGTAGATTTTCAGAAATAGATCATTACCTTCAGTATAGTATTTTGATTGGTTTGTATTAAAAATTTGAGACATTTTTGTACAATTTTGTGGAGAAAATGTGATGAAAAAATATTGAATTGAGGGTTACAGGCTGTTTTACATTTAATTTAAGATTGAGATGTTTTAGGAAGACATGATATTAAATGTTTTGTAATTTTAGGTTCACGAAATAAGAACAGAACAGATGTCCCCTCAACATCTCAAAACCTCCCCCCAGGCCAGTCGGACATCAACCCCCACCAAAAATCAACCACCCCACACACCCACTGAAAGGTAATCCATTTAGAAACTTCTATTATGCTAATCAGACAATGCAGTGAATTATATGTAGCTCAGCTAGCAGCTTCATGTTTCTGAGGAATAAGCTTCATTTACTGTATATAGTGAAATTTTTGCCTACATTTTATTTTCGCCCCCTTTCGCCCTAGACACAAGTGGGCAAATTTAAGACGGGGCATATTCAAAGAAGACAGTATAAATTCTTAAACAGAACTTTGACTGGGCAAATTTAAAACGGGGCAGAATTGCTTTCTAGTGTGAAAGGGTGAAAATATCATGGGGCAAAATTAACCCTGTATACAGTATCTTGTATATTATTATAGTGACTGTTCTTACAGTTAATTTTAATTTTGAAATGTCCATAATAAATGCAGTGAATGGTGTCTTACATATTAAGTATTGAAAGAAATGAATGTTTCTTCTTATCAGATCTCAGATGTCCAATAATGAAACATTCCCAGTAGCCAAAGTTGCTGAACTCAAAAAGCTCAAGACATGCTCGAATGAGCGCCCTGTGCTGGGCTGTGAACTCGAGTCTGGAGGGGTAAGAATATTTCAATGTGATAAATGGTGGGGAAAAAAACTCTCTGCTTTATTAGGTTTTTGAAAAGTGATAGTAGATTTTTAAAGGGATGAATATTTTCAATCCTTTTTCATAAAATGCAGTTTTTCATATCAAAATATTCACAATCAAAAATAAGCAGGACTGATATAAAATTCTGATTTAAAGTTTAGTATTTTGACTTAAATCAAATCATGGCAGTATGTTCCATGTAGTTAAATGTGCATTGGTTTCTCTACATCTTAGCGGCTTCCAAACACCAAAGTAGCGGAACACTTGGTACAGAACATTCAGGAAGGCTCCAACATGCAGGAGATTGTCCAGAATCTCTACACTGAGCGAGGAGAGCTAGGGGAGAGCAAAGTACAGGAATTCGAGATCGAGTTTGAGAGATTGCAAAGCAAAATTGACAGTTTGAAATCTCAAAATGATCTACTAAATTTGACATTAATGGAATCCAAGTCTTTGTCCGATAGGTTGTGTATACTCATAGGAAAATATGAGTCCAATAATACTGCCCTGCAGTTGGCATTGAATTATTCAGATCAAACTATTGAGGCTTACGATGTTGTGTTGTCGTTGACTGAGAGTGAGTTGGGGTTGACGTTATCAAACTGTCGATCAGCTGGAGTTACTCAGGGGCTCAGGAGTTCAGCTCAGACACAGGAAGAAATTAACCAGCTGGCTCAGAAATCTCGGAATACTCGGAAGACTGCAGAAAATGTGGCCAGGCATCTGATTCAAAAGTTGGACAGGAATTTTGGTGTTAACCCATGGGATGATAGTTCTACACACACTGCAAGGTATTCACTGAGATAAAAAATAATAATTCCTTTAATAGCTGTTATGGACACTTGATCTTACCTGTAGAAAATATAAATAATTTATGATCATCAATACTTATGAAATGGTACAGCTGACTCAAGCCAAAGGCTCAAGTAAACTTTTCTGATCAAAGAGTATGTGTAGTATGATCAATGTCAACAGTGTATATTTTGCTTATTTTCAAATTTCAGAAACATTGTTAATTTTCAACCAGGGTTAAAGCTGTGGTCACAAATCCTTTGGTAGATAAAAAGAAGAACATCTAAAGTGAAAAAAACTTCGATTTTAAAAAATCCATTTTTCTATTTCTAGCACCAGCAGTAGTGGTTGTTACTCAGAAGATTTTTCTAAAGCAGAGGAACAGAAACTTAGAGAATACATCCACCAACTGAAGACTGAGCGAGCCTCGATCAAGTCCACCGTGATGGAGCTGGAGAGCCTGAACATGGATGCCCCGGTCAACGAGCCGACAAGACAGACTGAGGCGTGCAGGCTAGATCTGGAGAATGCTGTACTGATGCAGGAACTCATGGCCATGAAGGTTTGTTTAAGGAGTGGCACTTGCCTTGCTGTGTAGATTCTATAAATATCAACTTCATTTGTATGAAATATTGTGAGATATGAGCTGATTTTTCTTGTGATAAAAATCACTGAAGAAATGTAAAGTATTTCAGATAGTCCTTGCATAAGACAAAAATCGGTGTCATGGTAGGTGCAGTTGCATCTAACACTTGCAGAAAACATACTTTGCTTTAGATAATGTCTGCAGAGCAGTAAATTATTCTTGTGTTGATGTTTAAAGGACACAAAATAATCAATTGATTTGTCCAGACTTTGGCTGGAAAAAAGTAACATTTAGAACAGTTGATAATGTTTCAAGGGCCAATTGCAAACATAAGTTGTTACAGCAGGTGGTTTTTACAGGAGTAATTCTTTATATGTTTCATTAAAGGAAGAAAAAGCAGAATTAAGGGCCCAGAACTACCTCCTGGAAAAAGAGAAGAATGCCCTGGAGCTGAGACTCAGTGGGAAGGAATCCAGGGAGCAGGCCTATGTAATCCAGATAGAGCACCTCAAGTCTGAGATGGAGGAGAGGAATAAGTCTCAGGTATTGAGATATTTTAAACTGATACACCTTTAACTCAGATATTTTATCCAGAATAAGTTTTAGGGATCAGACAATGAAATATGTTAAACTTGTACAGCTTTATCTCTGATGTTTTTTGTTCCATTGAATATGTTGATAACTTTTGGACATTCAGTCAAACAGATTTGGCTAAAAATAATGTGAGAGTAAATGGATAAAAAGGATGTATACGCACTTCATATAATACATTTATATTAGGACAAAACTAAATTCACATATGGTGTATTTTACTTAGTTCAGCTTATGAATAGAATCTTTCACCTGCTAAGTTGCAGGCTGAGCTGTTCAGAAATCGAATAATATTTAATTCTTAATACAGCTAAGTAACCATTCACTCATAAGACCATCAAGTTTTCCACAATTTACAAAAGTGAAGTCCCTTTGCCACCATATTTGGGAGAAAACTCTTAAATTTTATCAGAGCATTTCCAAATTTTTGGTAGCATAAAGAAGAGAATAATCATTTTTTCCCCTTTTGACCTTTTTGGTGACCCTGCAAAGGGACACAATTTTTGCAGAGTTTAGCTTGGACTATTGATACTATTACTTTATAGGATGCAGAACAGCAGCATTCTGATTCATCCCCATTGGCTGATAAAGCATTACATGACTTACCTGAGGGGTCATCTCGAGACTTGTCTGAGGCTCTTCAGAGAGAAAGAAAGCTAAAATCTAGGGTACAAGAACTGGTGGTGGCTTTGGAGAAATTGTCCCGGAATTCTGAGATCCGACATCAGCAGTCTGCAGAGTTCGTTAATGACCTTAAGAGAGCTAACAGGTCAGTTTGAAAATTTAACAGGTCGGTTTGCATATTTTATATTCTAGTTGATTATTTTTAAACTTACACATTAGGATTATAAAATACTATATATATCGTTATTTTTATGGGGTAAATTTCCTTAAGAGAGTGAACATGTCAATTGGAATATTTCAACAGGTCAGTTTGAATATTTCAAATTCTAGATGACTATTGGTAAACTTTGATATTGGGATTATAAAGTACTGTATACATGTATATTTTTACTTGGTAAATTTTGAGATATCCATGGAACAAAGTCATAAGCATTCGCATGGCGCTTATTATTGCAGATCTGAAGTTAAGGAATTTACAAAATGTGTTGATTTGTTGTTGAGTGTGTTACTTTATTTGAATTTTATTAATTTTTTGAAACTTTACTTATCGCAGAAAAAGTCTCCCCCACACAAACATTTCCATGGTTAAAGTAAATAAATAATCATTCTTTGGTAATTATTTTTAATTGAGAAGTTTTTAACTTTAAGAAGCTGCCTTTCAGAAATATGATTGCAAGATATCTTATTGCAGTGCTTTGATAGCTGCGTTTGAAAAAACCAAGAAGAAATATCAAGGAAAACTGAAGAAACTGGAATTTCAGATCCAAGCACTGACAGAAAGATATGAGGCACAGGTAAGGGTTCAGGGCTGAAAAATCCACTTCATAAAGTTAAGGGGATAAGGGCTTTGAAGTGAAAAATGTGAAATGATTAGATCAACATTAAAAAGGAGAATTGAAATTTTCCTACCACTTTGTTCAAAAACAGATTCAAAATTTTTGATTACCCATGAATGGGTTTTATTGCAACTTTTGAGAGCTTCCCTTATTCTGCTCTTTTTCTTGGAAGTTTGATAGAGTCCAAAGTTTGTGAGATTTTTGTATACAACATTCGACAGTTAACAAATAATGCTACATTATTCAACACTTACAAGTTGTGTTTGATTTTTTTTGTCAGAGTGATCAGTGTTTTCTTGTTTGCCGACATTCCCTTAATTCACACTTCTTTTTACCAACAATATGAGCCTATATTATGATGATTCTTTAAAGTTATAAGGTACAAATGTACCTCTTATTCATTGTCTAAGTTCAAATCTAGCTGCAGATCTGTAGCTCTGGTCTGAGAAAATTGCGATGGATCACCAGAGACACAGTGCCACTCATCGAAAAATGTTGCACACAAAAAAGTGCACCGTTTCTTGATTTATTTCTTCATGTATCTCAAAGTATTACTAACATATTTTTCACTAAATCTGTTCAAAAACTTTTTGCACAAGTCATGCATGAAGTTCTTTAGACTAAATTGTCATGCCACCCAAAATGGCAGTATAAATAGGCTAAATTATCCAGGCCCAGGAGGGGTATGAACAATGGCTTTTGGGAGTGTTTTGTCGTAGAAGTTGTAAATGAATATGTTAGGAACACACGGTTAATAATATTTTGAGATGGAAGCTTAGATATAAGGAGAACTACAACAAGGAACAGCACACATTTTTTGTGTGCAATAAATATACACTTTTTTTCAATGGGTGGCACTGTAGCTCTCTGGTCGTCCATCCCAATTTCTTCAGACCAGTGAGCTACAGATCTGCAGCTAAGTTCAAATCTTGATACATGTACTATCATGTCCACCTTTAATTATAAAGTAAAGCTTAATATGTCCAGCAGAAGGTTAAAAAGACTAATAAAACTTTCGTTACATGATTTACATGTATTTGTTGAAAAAAAAGTATTTAAAATAAGGGGGGGGGGGGGTCAGAGTATATATTGAAGGGGGAAGGTATAACTTTAATCAGTTTAGAAACATGCATCATCTAAAAAATTGAAAATTTATGTGATACATTTAAATGAATCTTTGAATTATATGCATTATTAAAAGAATTGCTATTAATTTTACAGATTCATATGTTGAAGCAGAGGTTATTGGCCTTGGAAAATAATGGTATCCCACCCAATGAAACTTCATTATAACAACAGATGTTTTGTGGAGTTGGACATGAATGTGGATTTTTTTTTAATTCTGTGATATTTTTTGTTTCAAAATCTGCTTTAAAAACATTTCTGGATGTGAACGTCAAATTTTTTTGGATAAGTTAAACTCATTGATGCCATATTAGTGAATTTAGTTTGAATTTAGTTTATCATGAATTCATAACATTAACTGTATTTTTATAGCTATTTATTAAAAATTCGTTATAGTTTGTGCAAAGGTTGTTCGTGATTGTACAGTAAGTTTATTATTTTAAGATGTAAAGTTTGAGGCAAGTTTTCAAAATATCCATCATTATGTAGATGTAACTTTTTTTCCCCCAAAATAACTTTCTTTCAATATGGTTAATTATTTGATAGCAGCCCTCCAATAATTTTATTTACTGTCAGAAATAAGATTTTTTTTAATATTATTATTTCCATTTACATAAGAATCATGCATATGTATGATGTCAACATTGAGAGATTTTTCTGAATATTATCATGCATTAAATATATAATGCACATACTTACAATGTATGTCACGAGAACCATTTCTTATGTTGAGGCATTTATACTTTTCCAATTTTAAGATATATTGACAAGTTATTAAAGTCAGGAAGGAATCTCAGATTTTCACCACATAAGTTACCTTTTTGGGGCACCAATACTTTTATTTAAATTTTGGACACATTTTTTACTTTAAAAAAAAATGATTTTTGCATTTTTTGCGTAAATATTTTGATATTATAGATTTTTTAAATTGTATATTTCATTAGGGCCCCGCAAGGATTTGCGGGTGCCCTATAGTAATCACTCTGTCTGTCTGTCTGTCTGTCCGTCTGTCTGTCTGTCTGTCTGTCTGTCATTCTTCCGTCCACAAATTTTCTGTTTTTTTTTCTATTAACTTTTTTTAGGGTTGACCAGTTAAGTTCAAATTTGGTATGTTGGTTGAATAGGCAGTAAGACATATTTTGATGCTAAGTTTGATTCTCTATGTCATCTGGTTTGGAGCTGGGGTGGTGGGGTAGATTCCTTAACTTTATATAAGAATGAATTGGCAAAGAGAGATAACTGCTGAGAATGTTCCTATTGTAAACTGTGAAAGGCTGCAATGAGTCTCTTGGGATTAATTAACTTTTCTCTTGAAGAAAATCCAAAGCATTTATCTTTATCTGTAACATTGAGATTAATTAACACCTCTGTCTGCAAATGAAGTTTGTTTTGAAGTTGTTAATTCTGAATGATGGTTACATTCTCTGATATGTGGATTTAAATAATGTTCATACTTTATTTTGGTAAAACAAAATGAGTTATTTATGATTTTGTTGAATTCTAAAAACAAGATACAGATAAAGATATCTTTTTATAATATTATTTTCTTTTTTTCTTTTTTCTTTCTTTTTTCTGCCTTATGTAAATTCAAGAATACTATTTATTTTAAGAGGTAATCAGATAATAACCTCATTCTATCATTGCTGAAAAAGTTCTTGTTGTAAATTTGGAAGAAAAGATTGAGAGAGCAGTATAATTAATCCCCTGGGATTAATTATCTTGCTGGTCGCAGAAAATTTTTAGAGGGTTGTGTTTCTGTCACTTTAAGATTAATTAACACCTTTGTCTGCAACTGATGTTTGTTTTGAAGTTAAGGTCAAGCCTGGGTGATATTTGCATTCACTGAAGACTGGCATTTTAGAAAACACATGCTTCATTCTTCTTTAAATACACATTTAATTGAGTCATTATAGATATGATGTTTTTACTGCCTTATGTAAATACAAGGATACTATTTACAGGTTGTTGGATATTTAGCAGTTGCTGTTGCTTATTCTTCTTTATGTATTTTTAAATTTTTGTAATCAAGTAAAATTCTCATCCCGTAATCTGCACCCTTATATTTCTACCCCTCAGCGGGGCCCTTGCTGACTGGTCAGATTTCTAGTTTAATGTTAAAAATAGTACAATCTCTTCTCCACATATTGTTCATGTATTGCCGATGCTTTGTTTTGAATTCATGAATAAACTACATTTGTAAGTAAATTGATCCCATGGTAAATGTATAATTAAGAAAAATAATTTTTCGAAGAAGGGAAAATGCAGTTTTTCACAGGGCTGTAAATTTCAAGTATTTGTTATATATAAATTGTGTATCACATGGTCAACAGTATTCATTTGTATATAAATGTAAATAATATACATAACTATGTGTTCAACCCATGGTGCTAGGTGTTATTTATGTGTATTTGATAGTGAAACATTATTGCATTTTATCAATGAAACTTGTGTAATATCATGTAATATTGACTCAATATTTCATGTATTCATGCTTTTATTTATGATTTAATGACGACATGTATTGCAGATAAAGCAGTAAATGTTATTTAGGAGTTTGAGACATCTGCATTAAATTAATAAACAATGTATGAAATGAAATTGCTGGATATTTAGTCTCATTTTTTGCACAATAGAAATGTGCCCATAGATATAGATTTTTTTTTATTTTCATATCGATCAGTTTCAAGGTTACAGTTAATCCAAAGGGGAAGTCATAAGCATTGAATTCTAATATTGCTGCAGAAAATTGCTTAAAAAAATACGGTTTTGACAACTGAAGAGAGTTGAATTATTCTAAAACTGAAAGCAATATCTATGCTGATTCATGCTTTTATTTTTTTAATTTTTTGATGAAATTAAAGTAGGGGGGTCCATAATGGTGATTGCTTTATTAAAAGGTGAAGATAGCAACATTGATCAATCTCATTAATACAGGAAACAAAACGGATTGTGAACAAAGTAAGAACATGGACCCCTGGGATCAGGTGCCTAGGAGGAGTAAGAATCCCCTGTTGACTGGTCACCCCATGTGAGCCCTTGTCTAATATTTAGGAAATCTGATGATGATTCCTGTTGTACATTGATGAATTTTATTTAGACTCACTCTCTCTCTCTCTCTCCATACTATTGTCCTGTCTGAAACAAAGTATAAACCTCAACAAACTCATTTGTTCAAGAATACTTCTGAGTAGAAAGGATACACAGAAGAACTTTCATCTATTTTAATAATTGATCATTGCTGACTAGCAATGAGGTTAACATGTGACTTGCTTGAATACTTTTAACTATTATACATACATGTACAGTGCAGGAAACTAATTTTGTTACAGCATCGATGCTGATTTGAATGCTTCCTTTGCTTGCTGATTTGAATGCTTCCTTTGCTTGCTGATTTAATGCTAGTAATCCTTATCCTGATGCTGTTTTATAATTAGGTCAATTCTACCGGAAGCAGCATCATGCTACCGGAAGTAGATAATGAATTTCAGCATTGCCGTTTAAAGCAATAAAAGTGCCTTTTACAATTATTTGATCATAATATCTCACTATGTATCAATAATGTGAATACTTTAACCAATCTTCTTTCTTTCTTTTTTAATTTTTTACTGAATTAAAGCTCATTGATTTTCTGATGCTAGTAGGATAATGCTGGTTTTATGTAGGTCAATGCTGGTTTTATCCTATGCTTGCTGATGCTGATCCTGGTAATGCTGTTTTTTAAATGCTGATCCTGATGCTAGCTTGATCCTGATGCTACTAATGCTTATGCTGATGCTGGTTTATGTAACAAAATTAGTTCCCTGCACTGTATGTATGCATCAACAACTCCAGACAAAATTAAGGGCATCCCATGCAGTCTTCCCGATCCATTTTTGGTGAAGGACTCTCTCCAATTAGAGTGTTTTATTTCAATATAAAATACTCTGATTTTCTGAAATATAATTTCTTTTTAGAATTTATTACCAAGAATTGTCTCTCTTTTATCTGACAGTAAATCTGATGGAAGTAAAAATGAAGTTGAAGCAAACTTAATTTGTACATAAATGTACTATAGTATATTTAATATCAATTTCGTCATCAAAGGTTTTTCTATACATTGAAATCAACGAAGAATCTATATAAGTCATGTTGAATATATGTTGGTCTGATAGGTTTTCCTTAGAAGAATTTATGTTTTACTTTACTATTGTTAGTAATTAAGTAATAATACAACTCATTAAATTAACACATAAGACTGTAAATATTATTTACCCCCTCAAACATGCCCTCACAGACATTACAGAGAATAATGTTTAAATGACTGCTATGTTCAATATACATGTAGTCTTTTCACTTGTACATTATATCTCTGTCACAGTATTACATAATACATACATATATACACATAAATTTCACTGTCTTTTTTATATCACGCAGAATTATGATAAATTTCCCGAGAGGAAATATCAAGGTTTAAGACTAATGTTTATGAAGAAAAAAACAAACAAACAAAACAAAACATATACACACACATTAATTTCATGAAATAAAGACCCTTCACCAGTTTTGACTTTAAAGATGAGGATTCTTATTATATTTGTAAAATGTCAACCAACGTGTAATGAAATCTATTACAAGAAGTCTATAGCATACACAATTCACCATAACACCAGTAATCTATACAAGATACTGTTAAGGACCCTCTATACACTAGAGGAAAATATTTTTTGGACATTGAAAAAATTATAGTGTGTAAAGGTGTAAGCATTGAGCATATTTATCACATTTTCAGCATAGGGTGCCTTGCATTTACCCCCAGGAAAAATGTTCAAAGACATTGAAGTCAGATGAGCATAAATCACTGTTGTTTACTTAAGTGGGCAAAATACCTGCACATGAAGTGTTCTATCTATTCATCTTGGCCTATTAAAGTTTTATGAATTCTTGATTTGATCGCAAATTAAGTTATAAACTGTACTTTTCAATTTATTTTATTCTTGATCAAAGGGCAGATAACTCTATCTGCATAAAAGTACCACAAATTCAGAACTCTCTAGCGTGCAGTGTATAGAGGGTTCTTAAAGCACAATCATATTTTATTTTTTTTAGCGCGTTTTTGAGAAACATATGGAACTACGAAAGCTCAGAAGGCTCATTCGAGATTCGAGTTTCGAAATACGAGATTCGAAATTCGAGATTCGAAATTCGAGTTTCGAGATTCAAGATCCAAACTAACCAATCAAAAGACGGTTTAAGATTCAATTACCCCCCTTTGCTAAGTTATGTCCTTCAAGAAATCGTTGAATATATTCAAACCGAAGAGGTCATTTGATTATATTACAATGCAAGAAAGAGTGTTATGTATATCAGAACGAAATTAGAAAAAATATTGGGTTTTAGGTCTGCAAAATATGCTTAAATTTATATTATAACTTCTTAAATATTATAATAGATTTATATCAAGAATATCTATATCGTATTATCTACTTTGTTTACAGGTTTCATGTCATAATAATAAATATTGTTAATCGGATTCAAAGAGCAAAGGTAGGGGGAGGGGACGTATTGTAGTCGATGGGAATTATTAGTGTGCAATTAAACAAGTGACGATTAATGATAAATAGTTATACGGATTTCAGAGAGGATATAGTTTGTAACCAGGAATTAGAAATTGACCAGTGACTAATACGGATTTCAGAATTTAGTGTGCAATAAAACAAGTGACTAGCGATTAATAATCATTAGTAATTATACGGGTTTCAAAGTGGATATAGTTTGTGACAAGGTACTAGATTGATTGATTGTATGTTGTTTTACGTCCCATTCGAGAATTTTCCCCTCATATAGAGACGTCACCATATACCGGTGAAGGGCTTCAAATTTTGATCTTTACTCGGCGCCCAGGGCCA